AATCACCCTCAGAAGAGCTAGTGGGGCTCAGCAAGACTTAACTGAAGAATAAGTTGCAATGAATAAAAAGAAAAAAGAAAACACACATGTACACACTAAGATATACATAAACGAGAACTGCTACACATCAAGCATGCTTACCCACAAGTGGGCAATGTTAGAAAAATTTACTGATTTTTTTTTTATTCCTGCCCCCCCCCGTGGTGCTGGTACAATGAAACAGTAGCGTAACTAGAAAGCAGCATGTTTTCCTAGTTCTAACCACTACAGATAGCAGAGCTCAGGTCTAAAATAACACAGTACTGCTTATTTACAATTCCATTTTAAAAGGGAATATTTAAAACATGTTCCCACCCCTCTCCCTTTGCATCGCCTATTCCTGAATGGTAGTGGTAATCCACATACAACTCCTTACATGTTTTCAACTTGAAACAGTTTAACTTCTAGTTATTTGCCTGGTAGTATGTAACTTAGGTACTAACAAAAACAAATACAAATGTCAAAGAAACCTACAGCTGTACGACTTCAACATTTCTAGGCATTTTACATGAAAAACTAAAAGGAATACTGATTGATACCTTTCACTTGATTGTTCCATGTTTCTGTCTTTTTTTTTTTTTTTTTTTTTTAAATGAATGCCCCCATCTTTAAGCCTAAACTTTATAAATTGTGAAAGGACCCAGAAACACAGTACACTTATCTGGCTTGAAACAGTAATAAAGTGGATGATATCCAGCACATCTTTATAACATGCATAAGAAGGAGAAATTGGCCCAGCTTAACTTAGCTTTTCAACGAAAACTGAAATAAAATTGGTTTAGCTGATTTGCCTACACTACATGTCTTTTTTTCTGTTTTACTCACTTCCTCCTCTCAAACATTAATTTCTGTCTACAAAGTATTTGAAGATTTTGTGGTAGTAGCAAAGCATCAACATCCACCCAAATAAATTCACAAAAATTATACAGGAAGTTGGCTAGAAAGAAGGACAGGTTCAACCGACAAGTTACCTTGCAACTCAGAAGGCTTCATGCTCCTTTGCCCCCCCGCCCCCTGAACTTTGGCTGCTGTCAATGCCCACCCGGGTACGTTAAACCATGATGAGAAAGAAGAGGGCACTTCAGCCACAGGCTGCACGTTTTCCAACACACATTTGATATACACTCCCCCCTCCCCCCCCCGATTTACATGTAAAGAGCCGATGTATAATCAAGACTCATACATTACTCAAAGAAAAGATTTATTGGACAAACCCCACTTCAGTTTTAGGGAATTTTAAAAGTCCAAGGAATAGAGCTGAAAAAAGTCTTTCATGTGTATACCTAAAAGAAAAAAAATAATCATAGAAAACCAGACAACCACAGACTGCAGCTATTGAGAAAACTTTTACATTAGTTTAGTTTTCTGAATGCACTATCTTCCCTCTCCATACTCAGGGAATTGTTTAAGAATGTTCCAAATGGGAGGTAAAAATAAGTATGATTATTTTCTGCAAAGCAAAATGGGCTATTTGTTTTCATTGCTTAGTAACTGTATCATCTCGATATGAGATATGAATGTATTCATAAGCTTAAAACAACTTCTTCTATGGATAATATACATACTTTAAGTACTTTGACTTAAAAATTGAACATAAATCTTTTTAAAATTAAAGGTAGAAGTGCACATATAAAAATTATTTAAAACTAAAAGTATATTCTTAAGCAGTATGTATAAATATAACAGATTTCATTGTATTATCTATAACAAATCTGAAAGTGTTGAATTTATAAACTCAATGCCGACACAGGATAAGTGCCTTTCATTAGATTCTATATTGTATATACTTGTATATACACATTTTGCTAAGAAAACACACATTCTAAATGATAGTCACATAATTAGCAAATGTGCCTGAAAGTAATCTGTTCTAAAGTCTTTACTGAATGTGTGTGTTTATATACAAATAATGAACCTGAACTGCACAAATACAGAAACAAAATTAAGGAATAAAATATCATGATTGAATTAAAGTGCAGGAAAAATTCAAGTTTAGAAGTTCAGGTAAGATCAGTGCCATTAATTAAGCAAAAAAAAAAAAAAAAGAAAAAAGAAAAAGAAAAGAGAAAAGGAAAATAGGAAAAGAACTTGCTTCCAAAAATCTTCCTTTGGATGTAGCTTTCCAACATCACCTGCCATGCAAGTACCACCTTAGGCAAAAGTCTTTGCATAAAGACAGACAAAGAACACAGCTATATATTACTATATTTTATAACTGACTGTTTGCTGAAGAACAAATCACTGGAGATGCCTGTGGTGTAACACTTTCAGACTTATTTGGAATACACGCATATTTACACATATCAACATTCAAAAGTTACAGTTTGGCAGGACTAAGGTGAAGAAAAGCTTCTTCAGTTTACAGTTCCTAATGAGAGACACTACATATAAACAGATAGGTAGCAGCAGTTTCTTACACTTCCATCAAAAAAAAAAGTAATAGCTCAATTGTATTTTATAGTTTTCCAGACACTCTAAAAAAATTTCACACAATTAAAATGCTAGCGAAAAAAACCCGGGGTGCTTCCCCCCAAGGATTTCAATATACTTTGCTGTAGAAAAGGTGCACCACCAATAGCAGAATAAGATGCAATGATGTTATGTATGATCAACTTCCTTCCACAGAGAAGGAAAAAAGAACGTTTTAGACTAAAATTGTACATGGCCTCATTATTGACCAAGAACCATTTGTGTATTCATCTTATGAGCAATCACTTCATTAGTTTTCAAGTCTAGAAGCATGCTCTGAACACACGCAACAAAAAAGATTCAACTATGATAAATTCCATAATACCAATAAACCACTACTTTTCTTGTCCTGGCAGATGGTCTCTCATTGCCTCTTATTTTTTTGCTTGCTGGTGGTTATCAAATGTTTCTCGATGGGAAAGTTAAGTACACTTTTCTTTCAAGTGAAGGTCATCTTCCATTGAACTGATACCATGATTTGCTGAAGAGTACTTTTGCCATTCTCTCCCACTGAGTCTGACGAGACTAATTTTCCAGGATTCTGTTGCTCTGAAATATAGTTGCTCTTCACCAGGCCAAATAATAATCAGTCATCTCAATTTATAAGGGTGAGATAAGGAAGGGGACAAGCGTCAGATAGGGTATTTTATTTTTGGAAATAGTATGGATAGTAGTTTATCTAGTTTTATTCTACCTGGATTTTCAACAAAATGGTGTTAAATATGTATTAATTACACACTAAAAGAGAAATTAACACGCAGAGGCAAACATTGTGTGGCAGGCTGAGTTAACTGGAGTTAACATTGCCTCAGCAGGTATGGGACAGAGCCATCAAGAAATCATGATGCTGCTTGTTCAAATTGTCAGGTTCTCATTTGTTAAGTTCTTTGAACAGTGGACACAATATGGCATGCCCCTGGACTGGCAACAGAATTCACTCTTCCTTTTAAATTAAATGTTACCATATGTAAAATCAGAAAATTCATCAATTTGTGCTACGAAGCCCAAACACATTTGCCTTTCATTTGATAAATGAATTAAGAACCATCAGCAACTTTACTATTTTGCATCTTTTAAGTGTTTTGTAAGGTTGCCTTATCTATGCACCTGCAACCTCACTTTACAACATAAATATAACCAAGGTTTTGCTTTGGAAACATTTGGAAAGCATGTGAAAAAGACACACAGAATGTGATGCTTGGAGAAGCAAACCCAAATGATTAATTTCAGACAATGCAGACCTATCAGCTTCTAAGTACTCCCTTTCATAAAACAAAACCAATCAGTAACTTTCCTGCTTTGAGGGGAAAAAAGTCTAAATTAATTTTTGAAATGCAAACATTTATTTTAAGAAATCCTCTCTTTTTAAAAGAGCTCTGGTTATTCCCATTGTTACAGCTTTAGTGCAGCAGCCATTAATAAGTTAGCTCAGCTATATGATTTACCTCACCCAAACTGAACATTATTTCAGCAATTCCTGAAGGTTTAGTGGCCACTTACCACTGCCCACATTGAAAATACAGCTTTAGAGACTAAACACAAACTTTAGGCCAGCTGCCTTTAGTGCTGGGTGGAGCTGAGATAGGTACTTGTAAAATAGCTCTACTAGCAAGATTTAGAATTTTGCTGAACAATATACTGACAATTATTAAATATTAGATGCTTGCCATTATTCATGCATCAGCACCTCCACAGAGTGTAAAACTGTTTTAAAACCTGAGTCCAAGATTATCTGATTTCATAGTAAAGGACTAAAGGGGCATCTAGAACTTAAGTTTTGAGCAAAACTATCTCAGCTATTTTAATTAACGGCTGTAAAGATACATTCTGTTAAACATTTATAAAAATTCACAGCATGAATGGAACCCACAGCCAATTCTAAGTGTTATACAAACCGAACCAATAACTATTTTTGGCAAAAAGTGATATTTAACTGAACAGAAGTTGAAGTATTCTTACCACAATGAAGATGTTACCACATTTCACATTGCACGGCCATAACACAAATGAAAACTCCCAGCATGACACACATTCCAGTCATATTATTCACTTTACTTTTTTAATGCAAAAATTGTGTATTCTCTGGTTTTGCACTTCACAGAATATGATGTGAATACAAGAATACTCAATCAGGGGTCCAAGAAAAGACTATGCACAGGTCAACTATGTATACAATTTTCAACATGAAATCTTCCAAGCTTCCAGCTTTTCCGATGAAAGAAGTGACAGCAAACTTCAACTCTTCTTCAACAATAATGGTAAATATAGGGAGTCCTAGAGAGGGCAAGTGTAAGTCAGCTACTGTCCAGCTAGACAAACAACTTTATTACAGCTCTTGGACCCCTGATTTATTGCCTCTCCTCACAGGAGGGTATAACACTGGCGGCAATTACAATAGCACAAGAACTTTTGGCATATGAAATATTAACACAGGATTGACCCTGCATTGCCCCTGCCCATCTCACACTAAGTTTCCCCTTTACCCTCTTTTCCACATGTTCTAGTTACCTTCTGTGTTCCACCTCTCAGCTAACCAACAGCTAAGAAACACTCAAGTTTGTTTTTTCATGTGTGTTTCTTTTAAATATAAAGCTCCTCAGTTAAAGCCATGACTGAGGTAAAACAGTGTGTGATTTGTGCTAGGAAACAACAGTATCCAATGGTGAATACTCCTTTAAATTTCAATGGTCCTGCCAAAATTAATGAAAAACCAAGATTTTTTCATCAGGACAAAATTAAACAGATGTAATTGATGAGCATCATCAGAATTGGTACCACTTCTTGTCTTTGTACTTCAACATCATCTAAAAAAAAACAAACAAAAAAAATCTCATTACTGTTTCTGTAATGTATCAAAAAGCACAATGATACAAACAAATTATATGCTTACAAAGCAGCAGAAAGAGGGACTTCAGTAAGTCTTCTCAAAACTGCAACAAAAACACTGCTGAACAGTGAGGATTTAGCATGATGAATTTTCTAATGGTAGCATCACGGCTGATGATCTGGCATCAGATAGAAAAAGACATTTTTGGGAGAATGGGAAGATTGCACAAGAGTTTAGGGGATGGGAAGAGACCTACCTGAACGCAGAAGAGAACAGCCATCCTATATAGCTACTGAGGAAAAAATTAACTTGGACTCATGGGGTTTGCATACAACAATTGGATCTTTCTTAAGAACCACAGGAATCTCACCATTACTCTAGTTCAGTGACAAATTCTTTTATATTCTGGGCTGCATCAAAAGAAGTGTGGCCAGCAGGTCAAGGGAGGTGATTCTGTGCCTCTACTCCACTCTCATGAGACCCCATCTGGAGTACTGCATCCAGCTCTGGAGTCCTCAACATAAGAAGGACATGGACCTGCTGGATCGTGTCCAGAGGAGGGGCATGAGGATGATCCAAGGGCTGGAGCCCCTCTCCCCTATAAGGAGAGGCTGAGAGAGCTGGGGTTGTTCAGCCTGGCGAAGAGAAGGCTCCAGGGAGATCTTATTGCGGCCTAAAGGGGCCTACAGGAGAGCTGGGGAAGGACTTTTTACTAGGGCATGTAGTGACAGGTCGAGGGGGAATGGATATAAACTGGAAGAGGGCAGGTTTAGATTAAACATTAGGAAGAAGTTTTTCCCTTTGAGGGGGGTAAGGCACTGGAACAGGGTGCCCAGAGAGGTTGTTGAGGCCCCATCCCTGGAGGTGTTCAAGGCCAAGCTGGACATGGCCTTGGGCAACCTGGTCTAGTTGGAGGTGTCCCTGCCCAGGGCAGGGAGGGTGGAACTCGATGATCTTCAAGGTCCTTTCCAACCTAAACCATTCTATGATTCTATGTAATGGGAACTGAGCGACACTTAGAAGTCTACATGCCACTCGGGCAGAAGGTATGCTCTAGACCAACATGTCACAACACAAAGCTGTTTACATTAACACTTAATTATTAGCAGTCATGATCAATTGATAAAAGGAAAGTGTCCTTTATAAATGTTATTGCATTCTCTTTAGATACCTCTAATATCTGGTTGCAGATGTCAGTTACTTGCAAAACTTGCATTTATTTGATCAAGAATCAGTTTAATGTTAGTTTAACATGTAACAGACTCACCTCATGAGCATGTTTAGAGAAAGAATCAGCACTGTAAAGCATAGCTGCAGTTTTTTCTTCTAGTTCTCCTAGTTTCTGTCCTCTTTCATCTAGTGCCAACCGGGCTCGTGCTAGTTCACCAACTACACCAGATGCTGCTCCTTTGACACCTTCAATACCCCCAGGCCCTGGAATATGCTGGGCAAGACTCCTTGATGCCTTCCCAGATGCTGATTCTCCAACTGGAGGCATTTGCAAAAGAGCAAAAACAGAATAGTAAGGTTTTCCTATCATTATTACATAAATATCAATGCAAATAGTTTATAGAGGTGTTATTTCTTTGCATGGACACCCAACACCTAATCATAGGCATGACTATGAGCAATACTCACTACTCAATGTTACTACGTGTTACTATTTAATAAAACTGAGATTTTCAAACATATTTCTGAGTTTCCAAGCAGGTTATAAAATTATAATCTTTTCATAGCTCAAGTGTGAAATTAAAACTCTCTCAAAACTGCTGGCATCATGGTCACCAACAGAATTGTGCTGGTGAAGTGGTTTTGAACAATACAGTTTACTTCACAGGGAAGGTGTTGGGAATTCAGCAGACAAAGAAGGAAAATTTTGAAAATACAAATTGTGGTCAACTCTGGAAGTGCTTTGCTGGTGTAGCCAGCCAGTATGACTCCACCAGTAGAAGTTTCCTTTGATGGAAGTTCAGTTTTAGATGCAGACACCTAAAGATTACGTGTCTGTACTCTCATTATTATAAAAATCTTGTCAAAAAAAGTAATGTAATGCAAATCATGAAAAAGGCAGTACAGCTGTAAGAACAACTCAGTTCACCCTAAACACGACTGGTCAGCTGAACAGCTCTCTAGACTACAGTAGCCGCACTGACTACATCTCCTTTGCTTGTAATGGGACATCAGCCCACTAGTTCAGTCTAGACACTGAAAGGATGTGTCAAATTCATGCTGCATTGTATAGTCTACAAAAAGTTGAGTGAAGACCAAAACATTTTTGGGTGCTGAACTCAAACCAAATAATCTTTATCTTTTCTTTTTTTAAACAATGAAATTATGGTTTAAATATTTTCTTTTTTTTCACTTATAGGAATAGTAATATTAACTTATTTAACAAGTTTTGATGCAGGATTTCAAGATTTTCTGATTTGATTTTACACTTCTAGGAAGAACTTAGATTTCAATTCATGCTATAAATGTCTTTCTCTGAATTCCTAAGAATAAAAGAGACATCATTTCACTTATTACAAATTCTGCTGTGACCTTCATGTTAAATATGACTGTTTTAAAGACATTTTCAGATGTCTTTTAAATTGTCATTGAATTACCTTTCAGGATACAATTAGGCTTTTTTCTCCCATTCAATACTATTTTCCTTCTGAAGATCTGAGACAAATCTTGATGGTGAAAACTTGAAATGATGTAAAGACATAGCTTCTAAAGTTACAAGAGTGCTTTTCTGTTGCCATGAAAAGGCAGTTTTTCCCTGTCCCCGTCATACTAATTAAATATATAATTTTTGCACACAGATTTCTCTAATAGAGTACTTGAGCAACCTTTCAAAGTATTACACATACATAAATACAAACGGAATTTCTAATGCAGAAAGTGACCTCAAAGTGTACAGGCCCAAGTAGTAAAGACTTGATTTAATCTTTATTGGATAAGAAAATAAAGGATCACCAGGGAACCTTGTCTGTTTTAACAGCTACATATCATGTTAAAAAAGAAAGTTCTTCTTACAGATAAACTTGCATAATATGGTGTTTTATCTAACAAATATCTGAATAAGTGGAAGTTATTTTCCTTAAATATATTAGTCTATGATTGTGTAAAATACTGCATGCCACCACAGTAAAAAAAACTCAAAACCAAACTGTAATCAAAAGACAATGAGGAGGTGACAATGCAATAAACTTTGCCAAATCCGAGTTTTCCTGTCCTATGAACACGAGACTGAATTGAACTATCATACAGTTCTGTCCTTGCTCTCGTTCCTAAGGAATCTCTGCACAAGCCAAATGAGGAAAGAATCTAGCAAATGAACTAAAGCAGAACAGAGTTTTAATTTTCCCACTGTCCAGAACACTGTTCTCCAGAACCAACCCCTTTCAGTTTAACATTAAGAAAAGCATGGTCAGTACTATATACTTTATAAAGATGAATAAAAATAAGATCGGTTGTCCCATTTCTTGGTTTACAATCTAATCCTGAACAAATGAGGTAAAGGAGCCTGTGAGAAGATGGTACCAAGCTTTTCCAATCTTGTTGGTAAGGCGCACAACACAAACGCTATCGAAAAGCATTTGTCATTCCTTTTTTTACTTTCCTCTTTGCAAATGTAATGTGCTATTAACACAGATAATACATTTCTCAAGGATTATTGGCTTCCTTGGGTAGAAATACCAGAAAAGTAAGAAATTCTAAAAACTTACAGAGTTCTTCTCTGTCAAGTGACTGTGCCCCACCTCCAAACAGACCTTTAAAGAAGCCCCTGTTTGGTGCTTCCGGTGTTTCTACTGGAGTGAAGAGCTCACCCAACATTTCCTTTGCAATGAAGAGACACAACAAGGCATACATTATTACACACAAATTAATGGAACATTCTTTCACTTTAAGGATTTATTTTGTGGATTTAAATTTCAAAATTAATATGCTTTAATAGGCATCTGCCTTTGCAAGGCGACTTAGGAAAGAAGAAATAAAAACATACTCAGAAATGCGTCCAAACCATCTGTTCTGCTAGTTGCAAGCTTATAGCTCATGAAATTTAGTAGCACAGAAATGGGTTCGAGTAAAGCTGCATTTGCCCCTCAGCAACTTGGGCAACACTCCTGATCTTGTTGAGCTTACAGCCTGCAGCTCTGCTATTTCAGTATTCTATACAACTTCCAAGCTGAAGCATGGCTGAGAACCTTTTCAAGCTGTTAATTCCCCTGAAACATAATAGCTTCCTTCAAGTATCCTGAGTCAGCTTTCCCTCCTTACATCAGCATGCACCTCACCAGCATCAATGAACAAGGGAGTTTTGATAACTGCCTATGCTAAAGAAATTTCCTATCGATCAAAAAGGAAATTAAGTAAGAAACTGTTTCAAATACAAGAGGATGGATGAAACAGTAACATTTAAGACTAGAAGTGATTCATCCTGAATCAGAGACTCTACAGTGCGAAAAATAAAAGCGCCGATTGCTCAACTTTATAATGTAAGCGTTGGGAATCTAGAACTGAGAACCTCAGAGCCTAAGTAAAGAGTAATTTTATTTTAAATTCATTACCTGAAGATTTTCACATGTTTCTTGACTGTAGGTGAGCCTCTGTATCTCAGTTGGTGAGACAAGATAGAGTGCTTGTCCATTATTGGTGAAGCAGAATGTTCTGGCTATCCGCATATTGGTGAGTGGCAGGTAATATACATCCAACAGTGGCCTTAAACTTGGCAAACTTAAGGAAAAAAAAATTAAAACACTAAATATAGCAGGATTGATCAAATTTCTAAACCACAATACATTCTTTTTCTCTTCACCATCTGCATAAGTACCATATAAACAGGGTAAATCACAGATACACTTAAAGCATTATTCAGTAATTATTAAAGTATTTTGATAAGTATTACTTTTTACAGTTAAACATCCAACCTCTTCTTTCAGGTGAAGAATTTCTCCTTGACTAAAAATACAAGAACACTTCTCAAGAACACTTGGAAATACACAGGAGTGTGAGCTTTCAAAGGAAAAGATAATTTAGCAGCCTCAAACAACAATATTAAGAATTATGTCCACTTTTTTAAATCTGATTGCATATTTAAGAGGAAGTCCTCTTAGAGCAAGGTTTGCTTACCATGTATTTTTTGATTCTGCACATATAACTGGAGTACCTACTGCATCACGCTACTGAAGAACAGATGCAACACACTCAGGCTGTAACAATGCTCTTGCTACCAAACATTCCTCTCCCTCAAAGTAATAATAAATGCAAGCAAGAAGTGACTGAACACCTGATGTCTTGATAAAAAAGAACCCAAAATAAACCGCTGTCTCAAAAACACCCCCTATGAAATTTGTTTAAAAACATAATTTACACAAGATGTTAACTGCAAATGTACCAACAAGACATTATGCAGCTTCTGCTGCAGATACCATCTGCATAAGTTTATTATTTCTAGAACCTAAAAAAAAAGCAATAAAGGGGCAAAGTGAAGTCAAAGGTAATGAAAAAGAAGGATGCAGTAACCGCAACAGTAAGTGTTGTGGGGTTTTTCTGGTATGATACTGAGATTTCTAAATGTTAAGCTTGCATTTTACGGATTCTGGTTTGTATCTCAGCAGAGTTAATCTAAGACAAACAACAGAAAGAAGAACAGGTAACACGACTTTGGAGGCAACTTCTACAGGTAAGAAATAAAAAGCAATATTGTCTTGTAAGCACATCACCCAGAAATGACACTTCTGCCATGCACGTATCCAAAATAAGAATATTCCTAAGAGTGAGTTAGTAACAGGGAAGTGCTTTGCTTCAGACGGATGGAAGCAAAAAACATCCTTACAGCTTCAAGACAAAACACAAAAACATTAGATCAGGTAGCATATGCATGACATCCACGACAGCATTTTCAGAAAAATCAAACAAATTTAACAGAATCATAAGACCTGTCTAGATTTATATCAGTAGGTAAGTATGGGCCATGTTTGGTATGATACAATGCTCTCACAACTTTACAAAACCAGCACATTAAATCCACTTCCCAGCAGCAATTATGCTTATGAAATGGCGTTAATATTTGGGCATTCAACTTCCCTA